CCAGGATCATGACCTGAGCCGAAGGCAGTCGCTTAACCAACTGAGCCACCCAGGCGCCCTGGGAGGTTTTTGATCACTGCTTCAATCTCGTTACTGGTTATTGGCCTATTCAGGTTGTCAATTTCTTCCTGTTTCAGTCTTGGCAGCTTATAGGTTTCCAGGAAGGCCTCCATTTCATCCAGATTGAGAAGCCATTATACTTCTTACCTATTTTTCTTTTATGTCTCTGTCAAGTAATTCATGCATTTCTTGGCCAAAGTTAGGCCACCTGACCACCAACCCCATTGTTCACCACAATTGTGCTTTTGTTTTAGATCAGTGTTACCGACTATCTTTGCGGTTCTGTAGCATCTCTTTCAGATGCTGGCTACTCTTCATCTCTACTGTATGAGGTTTTGAGGGGGAGAGTTGTAATACAGGTATTAACCAACAATACCACCAATCCTCTGAAGCGAAGCCTCGTGCAATTAGTGATCCAGTTTTAAAGGCCCTGGCCACCTTTCCTCATTCTCTCTCATTTTCTTGAACTTCCCCAAATACTTCTCTTATAAGAGGTCTAGACTAGTTCAAGGTGGAAGGTGGGTAGGAAGGAAAAGAAATAAGCAAGAAAAGCAGTTGTGATGGGATGGAAAGACAGTACTCACTATGCTGGGGCCCCAAACCTGGCATTGAGCCACGTTCTACCATATGCTAATTGCTGGGCTCCAGTCCCCCTTCTATGAAAGACAATGATATCCAATTCCCTGAGCTATGAAGAATGAAGAAAAATACAACACAGAGGAAGTAGCTAGCCCAAAGTGTATATGCAACAGGCAAGAATTTCTCCCTCAATTTTTAGGTAAGAATTTCTGCTTAAAAGTAGCTTGAACAAGTAACATGCAACCATATAAGCAACAACCACAAATGTATCATAAGTCTGGACTGTGCATTTTCCAGGAAACCACAAACTCAGATGCTGAAAATATTCAGGCTTTCCTGTTGTTGAATGTTTAATTAACAGGAAAGGATATAATTAGCACTTTATGAACTAACCTACTAACACTCATAGATTACCAGAGAACACAGTCCAAGTGCTATGTGAGTTCACAAAGTACCAACCATATGGGCAGTTATAACTCTGATGTTGCCAGCAATACCTCACAGGGCTCCCAGTTGATGGACTGCAATATGGACACAAGGAATCCCAGAACTGGGAAGGATTTTCAAGAGATCTGCCTTGGGGTAGAACTATTCCTAAAATCTAGAATTATCAGGGATGAAGATTTGGCAATTCCTTAATCATGAGTTTAACATCGAGGAGCTTTGTGTGTGTGTGTGTGTGTGTGTGTGTGTGTGTAATTCATTATACAAATGGATTTCTTCTCTGTCTTTAATAAAAATGGAGAACATAGCTCATATAAATTCTCACTCTTCTTACTAGACCAAGAATTAGTGCTTATTTATGAGAGCTTTCTGATAGGTTCAACTACAAAATTCTGTTATTTTCCTTATTATTCTCTATATCAATTGGCCTATCTTGCACTTCCTCAAACCAAGCAGTCTTATCAGGACAAAATTTTATTGTATCCAAGAAGCGTTTTTTTTTTCCTTGCAACAAGTCTGAGATTTGCTTCCACGTCCAGGCTTTAAAACAAATTTATATACTGTGCCCTTACCTAGTATGTCCAGTTGCCGTAACCTGGTACAATTACATGCCAGTTCTTCAATGTCCGTGTCACACACAGACCTGTTGGCTGTGAGGAAGAGTTTTTGCAAGTTGGGGAGCTGGCGTGCCAGTCTGGCAAAACACCCGGTACCACTCTGCAGTGTAGGGCACCAGCCAAGGTCGAGTTCCTCCAGAAGCGGGCAGCCAGAAGCCAGTTCTGCAATCCCGTTCTCAGTGATATTCTTGCATCTCCACAGATCCAGAGTGCGGAGTTTTTTACACTTGGCTCCTATCATGCTGGCTATCACATCATAGTCTTCAATCTGGAAATCAAATCATTCCAGTCTCTTACGTATTACACTCAAAAATACAAACTGTGTAGAGCAAGTTAAAACATTCCTTTTATTTAAGTTAAAACATTCTTAATCATCTCCTATTGTTTGCTTCCACGTAAACAGACACACATTCTTGTGAATACAGATCTACCCACTTGTCTTACGGATCTGCCACTGTTTCATAAAACAGCAAGAATAATCGCTTACTTAAAAATCCATTTAACAGAACTCCAGAGGACTTCATGAATTAAATCCCAAAGCATATGAAATCTTCAGTCTCTCATAAAGAATGTGAGGATTCTGTGTTGTTCTCGTATGCCTTCCATTTTGACCTTGCTCTGCTACTTATTGACGGGGCCTAGTTTCTTCTATTTTATATATAATTCATCAACTTTGGTGGGTATAGAAGATCTCCCTGACAAAGATGTGCACTTCACCAGGCTCTAAAATAGTATGTGAATATGCTGAGAGTACTAATAATGATCCTGGTTTGGAGTGAAATGAGGCACTTGGGGACTGAATATACAACACGAAAATAACTTAGATCATGGTATGTTAGTGCCGGTTACTGCGGTGTCCACAGTTTACTTCCTGATCACAGGATAATCCCCCACCAGACAAGGATTAAACATTTCAGTTCATGGGCTTTATATGCTTTCATAACGTTTCGTTGGACAGCTTTCTTTTAAGAGTTTCATTGGTTTTATAATCAGGTGCCAAAATGATCACCAGAAGTCAAAAGGAAACAAAATAGCTAATACTTCCAATCATTACTTCCTTTTGTTCATTTGTTTCTTCGTATTTTCAACTACTGTGCGCCAGCACCACTCCAGAGGCTAGGAACAACAGTGAACCAAAACACAAAGACTTTGTTCACATTTTTGGAAAAGACATACAGACAAATGAGCAAAATAAATTTAGAGAGTGATAAGTGGTGTGAAAATAATAAAACAAGGTGATCAGCCTGTCAGGCGCTCAGAGTGTCAGGTGTGGTGGAAGTGGGGGGAAGGAGGGAGGGAGGGAGGGAGTGGTGATTTCCAGGAATGTACCTGGTGCATTCAAGGAACAGAAATAGGACTGGGTATGGCCCAAGGGGAGTGAGGAGACTCACGGGGTGTAAGGAGAGAGGCGGTAAGGGCAGAGAGTTATGCAGGGGCCAGGCCATCAGGCCATGAAATCAATGGAGGGTTTGAAACAAATATGATCTACATTAAAACAAAAACCCCTCTGGTTTCTGTCTGGAGGATGGTCTATGGCGGGTAAGAATGGAGAGAAGAAGCCCAGCGAAGAGGCCTGCATGAGCTTGGTGTAGAGAGACAAAGGCTTGGATTAAGTTTGCAGCAGTGGAACTGGAGAAATGGACAGATTTGGGGCTATATTTTGAGTCAGAACTAAGGCCTCATGGCTTAGATGTAGTCATGATGATTTCTAAGGTTCTGGTCTTCAGGAACTGTGTGTGGGAGAATCATGCAGGAGACCATGAGAAACAGATTTGGGGGGAATATAACTACTTAAGTGAGTGTACCCCAACTATACAAACCTGTAGCTTTGAAAATTAGTGCAGCCAATTAACTTCTTTACAAAGAAGTAATTTAAAGAACTTTCGCAAACCCTTGATTCTGATAGTCAAAACTAAAATCAAATGAATCATCCTGCCCTCTGGTTAACTGACAGAAAAGCAACTGAAATAAACATGGTATTAAAGTGTCAACAAAGATCTGTCTGTGTTACTGTTCCGGTGAACCCTGAATCTGCTGTGAAATGTGAGCAGTATTTCTATGACAGGTGCGGAATGTTCCAGCCACAACGTTCGTAACGGGATCAGCAATATTAGTATTTTTGAACTTCAATGTCAAGTCCTTAAAACTTAACTTCCTGGCAAAGAAATATCAATAGCAACCATATTTTACTGATAACTACATACTTTAATTTAAAAATAGCCTACTGGGGTGCCTAGGTGGTGCAGTCAGTTAAGCGTCCGACTCTTGGTTTCACCTCAGGTCGTGATCTCAGGGTCGTGGGATCAAGCCCCATGTCAGGCTCCATGCTGAGCATGAAGTCTGCTAAAGTTGTTTTTCCCTCTCCCTCTGCCTTTCCCAGCATTGCTGGCTCTCTCCCTCTCTCTCGCAAACAAATGAATAAATCTCTAAAAAATAAAACAAACAAATAGATAAAAATAGCCTATTTATCTAAATGCTTAAGAAGAGCCAAGATGCCCTTCAACAGATGAATGGATAAAGAAGATGTGGTCCATATATACAATGGAATATTACTCAGCCATCAGAAAGGATGAATACCCAACTTTTACATCAACATGGATGGGACTGGAGGAGATTATGCTTAGTGAAATAAGTCAAGCAGAGAAAGTCAATTATCATATGGTTTCACTTATTTGTGGAACATAAGGAATAGCATGGAGGACATTAGGAGAAGGAAGGGAAAAATGAAGGGTGGGGAAATCGGAGGGAGAGATGAACCATGAGAGACTATGGACTCTGAGAGACAAACAGGGTTTTAGAGGGGACAGGGGATCGGTTAGCCTGGTGATGGGGATTAAGGAGGGCACGTACTGCATGGAGCACTGGGTGTTATACAAAAACAATGGATCGTGGATCACCACATCGAAAACCAATGATGTGTTGTATGGTGACTAACATAACATAATAAAATTAAAAAAAAAAAGAAAGAAAAGTCATGCTTAAGTAGCGTTTTCTACAGAATCCTGTATTAATAGAAGTACTATGGAACCATGGGTTTGGTAGTCAGGTGAAGCTGAAAAACACTGGCTTACATAAAGGCACAGTGTCTCTGCTGCAGGACATACCACTGAAAACTCCAGGAGGAAGACAGAGTAGCATCATTTCCTAACTTTTGGCCAGGAATCCCTACGTCACTGTCCCCCAGTACACATCCTTCCTTAACTGAATGTCTTTTAGGACTAACATTCCACGGGTCAACTTGAAAATGCTGACTTAAAATACCGGAAATAATTTCACAACTTAAAAACTACAGTTAGCTTTGTGACAAACTGACAGCACTACTGGCTTGTGGGTATGACTGATCTCTTATTTTGTAAAGAAATCCAGAGAGGTAAATAGCTTGTCTGCAATAACATCTGGCTTGAGGCAGAACCAAACTCCTTTTACCACGCACACTTCTTTCCTTGCTCTCATAGATAAATAATGTCGATGTTTCAAAGACATACTCTCCAATTTGAGAAAAATGTCTGAAAGCGGGGGACACAGTAGTTCACCGTAAATCTGAAGAGCTGCGGGTGAGTGTGGAGTGGGCTGGCCAGGATAACATTCCCCCACGGGAAGAAAAAGAGAACAAGCGATGGAGCAGAAAGAATTCTCAAATACTTACCATTACACAACTGCCCAAACTCAGGTGCTGAAGCTCTGAACAGAAGTTCAAAATGCTGAGCAGCGCTGTTTGCTGCCATCGGGGACCGCATTGGTGGCAAATATGGAAAGTGAAAGAAAGAGAAGAGGTCAATTAGACATTAGAGGCTGTCAGTGCTTTTCCTGAAACAGAGCTCAAAACCCAGGTTACAGACACCACAAATGCCATTTAATGAGTCCCCAGGTGCTCCCACCATTGACTGGCTTGAAGTCAAGGTAATCATTACTAGTTTCCATGTGAGTCGCCTCTTGGTATTCGGTTTTGCATGCCCTACCGATACCTTTGTTCCCTGTGACCTCTCAGCCCATCTCCCAAAGGTATGCAATTTGAAAATCTGGTTAAGACTGGACAATAAGAAAAGCTAAACAGGCTCTCCCTAAAAAAAAAAAAAGAAAGAAAGAAAAGAAAAGAAAAGAAAAAAAAAAGCCAAAACCCAGAGAGGGCTGGTGACACTCTAAAGAACAGCGGCAGCTGTCTGACAGTCACTGATCAGCTGCCGCCTGCTGGAGCTGCCAATAGTCACCCCAAATCAGGATCGAGCTGGTGACTTTAATGTCAAAGGATTCTCTCTGCTGACAACGATACCAACAACCATTGAGCACCTGTCACTAGCAACATGCTGACTGGAACATATATAATGTGCACTTTCTAGTCATGTTCCTGCCATTTAAGCCCATCTATTCTGTACAATGAAAATGGTCTCACCACTAAAGAAACCCAAAGGATATGCTGGACTGCTACATAATCATGGGACCTAAAATCTCTCTAGTCCTAACTGCCTTTGATGAAATGCCTGCCATGAAACATCATTAAGAAACAAATAATGCAAAGCATTTAAATTTCATTAGAAATTTAATTTTTTTTAATTCCATAAATTGAGGAAAAAACCTACTCAAACTTATGTGGCAAAATTTCTTTCTAAACATTTTAACTCAATCCTATCTAATTAAATGACAATGAGACTGGACCACCTCTGTTTAATCTGTTCCAAGTGCTCAGAAACTGAAACATGTCAGTTGGGGAAAGGATAAAGAATGTGTCAATGACAATACAAAACATGAGTTCAAACCCAGATAAGATTCTCACTGAGAAAATAATGAACTATTTTGGATAAAATAAACTTAGATAAGGCAAAAATAAAATAATAGGCCCAGAACAAAACTAGACTTAAGGCTAATTGTTTCACTGTTGGGTATTTCTTTAAATTTAAGCAAAAAAATAAAAGCTTATATTGATTTTATGATTTTATGCTTAAGTTTCAACACCACTTATCACATTTATAAGACAATCCCATCTAGCTCTCAGAATGTTGGCATTAAGAAGAGACCTATGAAGATTATTTAATTTTCAGATTCTCTATAATACTCAGCTATTTTAACTTATTAATAGATGGGAAAACAACATTAGGTTTGTTTTATTAAAATACCAGATCTTTATGACAAAGTGGGTTTAATAAGATTTTCCCATGGGCAAGATCAGAACATATTAGAGAATTTTTACAGAGAAATCCACATATTTTTGTGGATTAGGAATCATAAAAAAAAAAATACACATACTTCATTGAAGGAACTTGCTGGTAATTTATTTTTAAACTATTTACAATGGTAAATATCAAATATATAGACAAGTATAGAATCCAATATAATGAATACCCATGTAGCTGCAACTCAGATTTATTATATCTTAACATTTTGCTTTCTTTGCTTACTCTTCTCTATTTGTGAATCCCTCCAACCATTCACATACTTCCTTAGAGGTAACCTTTATCATGACTTGGTGTTTAAAAACCTGCTTAAAAATTATATAATTTTAGGGGCGCCTGGGTGGCTCAGTCGGTGAAGCGGCTGCCTTCGGCTCAGGTCATGATCCCAGGGTCCTGGGATCGAGCCCCGCATCGGGCTCCCTGCTTGGCAGAGAGCCTGCTTCTCCCTCTCCCTCTGTCTGCCGCTCTGCCTACTTGTGCTCTCTCTCTGTTAAATAAATAAATAAAAATCTTTATAAAAAAAAATTATATAATTTTATTATAAATTACAGATCCATAAATAGAGTATTGTTCTACATGGTTTCTATATAAAGGATATTATATAAATATACATATATTTTTGTATCTTCCTCAAACGTGTTGGTGAGGAATTTGTTCATGTTGATACAGCTTTAGTTCACTGAGTTTTTAACTGCTGTATACTATTCCATTATGCAAATATATTACAACATATACTCTCATTTGATGAATATTTAGTTTGTTTATAAGTTTTACCATAACAAAGAATGTTAAAATAATCATTCTTATATGTGCTTCCTTGTACATCTTATAGAAGAGTATTTCTCTAGAGCACATACCAGAGGAAGAATTTCTAGATTTTTAGTATGCTTTGACTATATTAGATTTTGCAAAATAGCTTTCCCGAGTACCTGCATCAACTAATGCTCCCACCAGCAATGCAAGAGTGCTGGGTCCCCACGTCTTTGCCAACATATAGTCTTTTCATCCTTTTTAACGTCTGCTATCTGATGAGCATGGAATGGTATAATATGCATTAGTGTGATTACTAGTGAGGTTGAAGATCTTTCCATATATTTATGGGCCACTCATATTTCTTGCCCCATAAACTGCTTAATCATATCCTTTGCTGATTTTTTCCATTAGGTTATTTCTTCTTTCTTGACTTGTAGGAATTTTTTTTCTATGCTGGATACCAATCTTTGTTAGCTATAGCTATTACAAATATCTTCTCTAAATGTGAGACTTGTCTTCTGCTTTGTTTATAGAAGCTTCTGAGACAGGAAATTTAAAATCTAATATAGTCACATCAATCTTTTTCCTTTATGTTTGTATTCTGTTGTCATTTCTAAAAAGTCCCTCTTTATCCAAGGAAGAATATTCTTCTTTTTAAATGACAGCATTAAAGTTTTTCTTTACACTTAGGTTTTTAACCCAACTGTAATGGATTTTTATACATGGCAGGATATCAAATTTCATTTTTTTCCTTAAGAATAACCACTTTTCCTGGTTCAACTTATTGAAGATTCTACCATATTTACCTATTTGTGGTGTCTTCTGTTATATTTCAAGTTCCATATATGTATGAATCTATTCCTGGGTCATTTTGTTCCTCTTGTCTATTTGCCTCTCCCGGCATCAACACTTCAGTCTTAATTACTATACCCTGTAATAAGTCTATAAAGTGGTAAGGCAAACACCTTTTCCTCATTCTTCAAAATTCTTAACTGTTCCTGGTCCTTTGCTCTTTCATATGAATTTTTGAATCACCTTAAAGATTTTAGTTTACCTTTTTAAAAGTAATACAGAAAGATTAGTTTTTCTTTCTTTCTTCCCCCGTGGTCATTATAGTTGATCCTTAAAGAATATCAGAGTTAGGGGTGCTGACTTCTACACAGTAAAAAACCCATGAGTATAATTTTTGACTCCCTCAAGTCTTAACTATTACTAGCCTACAGTTACCTGGAAGCCTTACCAAAAACTTAGTCAGATAAACACACATTTTGTATGCTGCATTATATGCTGTATTTTTACAATAAAGCAAGCTAGATATAGGAAAATGTTATTAAGAAAATCACAAGGAAGAGAAAATGCATGTAGAGTACTATATTTATTGAAAAATACAGTACTATATTTATTGAAAAACACATAGAACTGTATTTATTGAAAAACATCAGCTCATAAGTCAACCCAAGTTCTTCAAGGGGTAACTGTATTTAATTTATTGGCATTTTATCAATTTCTGTGTCATAACTGCTGACTTTATCTGATACCTTCTCACTGAATTTTTCTTCTTGTTGAAGAATATTTTTAATAGTTCTTTTAGTGAGTGTGAGTGGTAAAATCTTAACAACAACACACATTTATAGAGTAGTTATTAACATGGCAGGTACTGCTATAAATTATATATTTAACCCACACGACAACTCTATTGTGTATGTTTAGTCCTCACAACAACCCTACACACTCATTTACTCATTTAATAAATATTTATTGAATGTTTACTCTGTGTTAGGCACTGTATAGACACTTGGGATATATCAGTAAACACAGCAGATAATAACATATAAGGTAGATATTATTATTTCCATTTATTTATTTATTTATAAAGATTTTATTTATTTGAGAGAAAGAGAGAGAGAGAGCAAGCACGAGCGGGGGAAGGGGCAGAGGAAGAGGGATAAGAAGATTCCCCGCTGAGCAGGGAGCCCAACTTGGGTTTTGATCCCAGGACCCTGAGATCATGACCAGAGCCAAAGTCAGATGCTTAACTGACTGAGCCACCCAGAAGCTCCTATTCCCATTTATTTATAGATAAGGAACTTATAGATAAGGAATGTGAGTCACAGAAAGTTAAATACTGTACTTAGTCTTTATATTTTCCTTCAATCTTGAATGAAAATTTAGCCAGGCTTAAAATTTTAGGATGACAGTTACTTTCTTTCATCACTTTGAAAGTGTTACTCCATTACCTATTAGCCTCTATTATTTTGATAAGAAGTCTACTGTCAGTCTAATTGTCTTCCTCTGTAGGTAATATGTCTTTTCTCTCCAGTAGCTCTTATTCCTTTATCTCATATTCTGCAATTTCATCACAATGTACCTAAAGATTTATTTTCACTTACTCTGTTTGGTTTCCTGAGTGAACATCTGATTCAAAGACTTGCATCTTTCATTATGAAAGATGAAGATTGTTAACAATTTTCTCTTCAAATATTGCTTCTCTGTCATGTTCCTTTTTTTTTTTTTCCTTCTGGAACATCTACTAATGAACACTGGAGTCTCCCAAGACCAGTGCCTACAGTAGTTTAAAAAATATGTCCACAAACTATTCTATACTTCTTCCTTCCAGAGATGGAGCTTAGTTCTTCTCCTTTAAGAGGGGGCTGGACTTAGTGACTTACTTCCAACAAAAAGAACAAAGCAGAAGTGATGATATGTTAGGTTATTGTGATGGTTAATTTACATTAATCAACTTGACTGGGCCACAAGGTATCTGGGTATTTGGTTAAACATTATTCTGGGTGTTTCT